CTCAAGCAAAGACTGGGGTGAGACTCAAGACCCACCTAGCCAATGAGCTATTTGCAGCTGATGGCTGCTGAGGCAGACAGAGAGGTTGGTTATTCTTTTGGTAGATTCCATGCTCCAGTAGATGGCTCCCAGTGAGCATGTGGGCAGGCAGCACTGACAGGGCTTAGGGCTCACTCAAGAGAGTAAGAAAAAGGAGACACCAAGTTGGGAGGGGACATGTTGGGTGGGGTTTGAGCAATGCTGTGGGTGAGTAGGGAGTGGACACAGAAATACACTGTATATACATGTTATGAGATCCTCAAAGAATAAATAAAATATTATTAACCTTTAACTCCAGCACTTGGAAGGCAGAGGCAGGCAATCTCCTGGAGTTTGAAGTCAGCTTGGTCTACAGAGTGAGTTCTAGGACAGCCAAGGCCACACAGAGAAACCCTATTTCAATTTTTTTTTAAAATTCAAAAACAGAAAATCAGAACTCATTTAATCTTTGAGATATGCTCATAGTAGTGCTGATGTAGTATATGTACATATTACAAAAGAAGGTCTAAGGGCCTAAGATCAATGAGCTATATGTTCATCTGAAAACAAGACTAGGAAAGAGAAAGCAAAGTGAATTGAAGAAAATAAAACATTGTACTTAGTAAAACAAAAATCAGAAAAATCATTAAAATGAAAGCTTTGCAAACAAAATTGATAACTATAGCTAGAATGATGAGGAGAGAAAAGAAGAGAGGGCGCAATGACCAGCAATTAGGCTATCACTGTTGAGACTACGGACAGACACTACACATACACCAAGAAGCAGGCAGATATTATAGATATGACCAACAGGCAGGCTATTACAGATAGACACTATGGACACACTGGATAGCAGGTGGATACTATGAACAATCTTTTTTTTTTTTTTTTGGTTTTTTTTCGAGACAGGGTTTCTCTGTGGCTTTGGAGCCTGTCCTGGAACTAGCTCTGTAGACCAGGCTGGTCTTGAACTCACAGAGATCTGCCTGCCTCTGCCTCCCGAGTGCTGGGATTAAAGGCGTGCGCCACCATCGCCCGGCTTTACTATGAACTTTAGATAAAAAGGGCAAATTCTAAAGACAAGAGCAACTAAATACTCTGATGATATTAGATAACTGGAACAGCCACAGAAGAAATTTAGTTTGTGATTGAAAACTTCCCAAAGAAAAATCTAAGTGAGAGAGCTGAACTAGAGAATTCTAGTCAACATTAAACAGACCCTGTTCAAGTCTGTGCAAACCTGAGACAGCAGAGGAAGGAATACTTTTGAGCTCATATTATGAAGGCACAAAACAAAGACTAACACATGTCAGGGTTATGAAAACAGAACAGTATGTAAGAAGTATAGGAGTATATATTAATTTAGAAGAATACGCCAATATCTGATACAAATAAAGACGTAAAAATCTGCATCAAAATCCCATTACCCTGAATCCAGGAAAGCAGGGTTGGTTTAACCTCTGAGCATGATCATCATTATTAATGCAATATATTAGCATTAAAACACCCTGTATAGTCTTACTAGTATAATTTTATTACTTTGGTAAAGTCCATGACCAAAAGCAACTTGGAAGGAAAGGGTTTGTTATCTTTCAAGTCTCAGGCTACACTCTGTCACTGAAGAATGTCAGGACAGGAACTAAAGTAGAGATCATAGAAGGGATGCTGATCACTGGCTTGCTCCCCAGCTCACATTTAGCTGTCTTTCTTATACCTTCCAGGACTGCCTACATGGGCCACACTGCCTACAGGGGCCACACTGCCTTCATGGGCCATACTGCCTACATGGGCTGGGCCCTCCCATACCACTCACTAATCAAGAAAACACCCCATCAGCTTGCTCACGGGCCAATCTGATGGAGGTGTTTTCTCTGTTCTGGTTGTCTTCTCAGATGACCCTAGATTATGGCAAACTGAGGATAAACTAATTAGCACAAGTATATAGAAAAATATTTGATAAAGTCAATTCAATATTATTCATGACACTAATATCAGAACATTTAGACTTTAAAGACTCCTAATTATTAAGATAATGAGGACCTGGAACTTTTCTGTATGGCTGGAGCAAAATGCTGTAGTCACATTGGTAAACTGTTCAAATTTCCTAGACAGGACATTATAGGACTGCTGGGTCTCAGTGCTTCCTCCATCCTGGGGACGGCAGACGGTATTTGGTACAATCACCTCTATTCAACACTGTTTTTCCCTAACCCCAGCCTAACCCAGTACTGTTTTACAGGTTCTAGCTAGTATATAAGACAAATTAAAGCTTTAGCTGATATATCTACATGGAAAACTTTAAGAATTCTATGATAAATTAGCACAATTAGTAAGTTTAGAAAGGTCAACATATTAAAAAACCATTTCCATTGGGTAGCAAAGAAAGGAAATTTAAGAATACTATTTAAGAGGCACAAAACCTGTAATATTTGGTTACAAATCAAACAAAATACATAAAAAACTCAGAGTCAACGCTCTAATTAAGGAAGACATTAGTGAGAAGAAGAATGGGGGGATTTTTCCAGAATTGGTCTTGAAAATAGCTAATATGCCTGTCATCTCCAAAAGGAGCTGCAGGGTTCAATTTAGTCCTAAGCATAATTCCCCTAGTCTTTTGTTCGTCGGTGGGGGTGGGGAAACACAAGAAACTGACAGGTTAATTCTAAAATGTCTATGAAATGGCCAAGAATTCATGTTATAGTAATTTTTAAGATAAAAATATTAAGGAACTATACCACAGCATTTAAGACCAAGTATGAAATTAGAAGTTGTAGTTAGTAAAAGGTAAGGAAGCAAAAGATGAAAAGTTCTAGAACAATCAAGTACTTATGCTTCAAAAAGAATTTATGTTTGATCTCTAGAACAGAGGTAACAGTTAAATTGAAATGCATCATAGATTTATAAAGGAGGGACAAACTGCTGATACTTTAGGAAGAAAATGGGAAATCTTTATGGCTGTAGGCTAAAGAAGTATTGGATTTCCTCAAAATAGAAACTTTTCCTTTTCAGATGATATTGTTAGGAAGATACAAAGACATGTCATGGTCTGAAATTATCTGCAAAACATATTTGATTAAGAATCTGTATTCAAGCCGGGCGATGGCGAATGCCTTTAATCCCAGCACTTGGGAGGCAGAGGCAGGCGGATCTCTGTGAGTTCGAGACCAGCCTGGTCTACAGAGCTAGTTCCAGGACAGGCTCCAAAACCACAGAGAAACCCTGTCTCGAAAAACAAAAAAAACAAAAACAAACAAACAAAAAATTTGTATTCAAACCTGAGGTAGCAACATAAACCTTTAATCCCAACACTCAGGAGATGAAGGCAGGCAGGTCTCTGAGTTTGAGGCCAGCTTTGTCTACAAATTCTACAAAAGTTCCAGGACAGTCAGAGCTTTACAGAGAAACCCTGCTTGCCATCACCAAACACAAACAAACAAACAAACCCTGTATCCAAGCCCAGTGGTGGGGTGCACATGCATTTAATTCCAGCATCTGGAGGCAGAGGCAGGTGGATTTCTGTGAGTTCAATGCCAGCCTGGTCTACAGAGCGAGTTCCAGGATAGTCAAGGCTACACAGAGAGACCTTGTCTTGTATCCAGAATATATAACAGCTTACAAATTACCAACAACATAAACCAAAGTTAAACAAAATAAAACAAAAAACCAGTGTAAAAGATATGAACAAGCACATTACCAAGAAAATGTAGGTTGCTGTTTGTATCTTGTGGCTCTGTTCCCAGCTGCTGGTGGATTAAGAGGTGACTGGATCATGAGGGTGCTAACTTCATCAATGAATTAGTCACTGATAAGTTCATATGAAGTACAATAATAGGGGTAGGGGATGGCTGAAGGAAGTAGGCTACTGAGGCGTGTCTCTCAAGCATGTCATCTGACTTCAAACCCGCTTTCTTGCTCTCTCTGCTCCTTGCTCACCATGAGGTTAGAAACTTTGTTCTCTCAATTGCGTCCTGCCATGATCTTTAGCCTTGCCTCAGGCCTAAAATGGGGAGAATAAAGGACTACAAACTAAAATCTCTGAAATCGTGAACCAAAATATTAACCCATCTTTCTGTATGTTGACTTCTCTCAAGTATGTTTGTTACAGCAACAGAATAAAGCACAACACATGATAAAACAAATAAGCATGGCGAGATCCTCCGAGTATTCATTGGTAATATGGAAATTAAAGCCACAAAGATTTCACCTCATAGGCACTGACAGCTCAGCCTGAAAAGAATCACTGCAAGTGTAAGGATGGGGAACAGTTGGAACCTTTCTACACTGTTGGGCAAAACACTATAGCCATATCGGGAAACAGCATCTCGGCACAGTAACTGACAGACAGCCCAGAAATCCTACTCTAGGTATCTATCCGAGGGAAATACAAAGAATCGTCACAGACACTTATGAATGCTCATAGAGGCTTAGCAATCCTAACTTCCATGAGAAGATCTGTGCACAGACCAAGTGTGGTAATCCGTGTGATGCAGTGACACTTGGCAAAGGGAAGGAATAATGAACTGATTAAAAAAACCAGATCATTATTAAAGGCATTATGTTAAATGAAAGAAATAAGACAAACGATTTCTAGTTTTAAGCGTCCATTTATATGAAAATCTAGAAAGACAGTAGTTTCCTTGGAGCAGGGCTAAGGGTGGGCAATAGGTCTGATGAGGACATATTGGAGTGTAGTGATGCAAATATTTTATGCACTGTTGTGATTCATCATTGTTTATGAATCTGTTGGAACTTTTTGGGCTTTGGTGGTATTTAAATTTTATCTCAAAACTGATAAAAAGTTACCAAAATATTAAACATACATTTTCCCATTTGCAAGTAATAGCTGTAAAACCATCTTTCAGTTGGGCTGACAACATTTCTTTTTCCCTTCATTGGACAAAAATCTCAGTGAACAAACACATACATTAGAAGAATGAAGTCAAGTCCTTTCCATGGAGAACAGTGTTTTTCACGATCCTTACCAAGAGTGGTGAGCCCCTCTGAGAGAGATGTGAGAACATACAGGAGCACAGGGGGCTCCAAGTTGGTGACGAAGCTCATGTGGTCCTGGGTAAGACATTCCAGGAGGGGATAATAGGACTGGCTCAGTTTCCGATATTGCTATATAAAGAGATAGAGTAAATGTAAGCCACATGGATATGGTACCTCATTCTGCTATATTTCTATAAGGCCAACCCATTTAGTTAAATTATTAGTTGACAAATGATTTATTATTTATCATATTATAAAGACCAGAGGCAAGTGTATGAGAAAATGCCTGCGAATTCTCAAATGCAACATAAACCAGTATATGTTATAAGCAGGTGTAACACTCATGGCAAATATAACCTAGAGTAGAATAGCATCTAGTGAGGTTATAACACCTCTAAGCACGCTTATTCACGATGTAGCTTTCTGACCCCACTCCAGACTCAGTAAAAAGTTCTTAAGTGTGGCCTTGAAATCAGCCTTTTTCCTTCATAGTGTCATAAATACAGTCTGATGTACATTCAGGTTTGAGACGTACTGATGGTTTGCCTGGAGTGCAATCAGTTTTCTTGGTGGAGCACAACCGCAGAGAAAAGTCCCTCAGTGAGGCTGCCCAACAAGGTAACTGATGATTCTGCTTTGTAATTTCTGTCACACAGGTACTGCGTTCAAGGAGCACTTTGCTTTACCGTAGGAGGTGTCACACCCTGGCATGAGTGTGCTGGGCACTGGTCCATTGTAAGATCTAGGAACACTTCTCCCACAAGCTCTCCAGGTCATTTATGAAGCTTCTGGGAGCAGGTGGGAAAGTCTCAGCCCAATGCTGAATTTGGCTATTTTAACAAGTACTTACAGAAAATACACCAAGCACACAATGGCTCCTGTATAAAGTGGCTGAAATGTTTTAAAGAAAATCTGCTTATGACACAAGCCAGAAGTCTAGAAATTTGCGTTTCTAACAAGCATCCCAGACATTTCTGCAAAGTTCCAAAGTTTAAAGATCACTGACATACGTCATAGAAGCTAAATGTCATGAGCAGAAAAGGGGCTTCAATGCACTCATGGAAAAAGTGTGGTCTAGACACTCAGCGAGGTGACTAACACAGGGTAAATAACCAAAGGAATAACAGCCCATATATCAGGTAGCTCAACATGCAGTTTAATGCTGGCTGCCATACCCAAATTTTAATACAAAGGAAGGTCAAACAGGAAGAAGTTAAAAGGATGGATGGAAGGGGAAATTCTGCATCAAATCATGTATTTCCTCTTGTGAATAATAAATATAGCTGAAAGCAATTCCTTGACATTACTAAGTCTGTTTTCATGTGAAGAGGCTACAGTGCTTTGGATGACAAGTGGTTAGAAGTGACAGCTGTGACGTTCTAGCCTGTGTGTTGAATTACACAGATAAGCACTAGGGCTGTCCAGGTTTGTTAAGTATGGAGCAAGCATGCTATCTTGAAACAGAATGTGGTGGTGTTTGGATTCCCAGGTTTGTAACCATTCTAGGCTGGGGTGCTGGTATTCCACTTTCCCATGAAGACCCCCAGGACACAGCAGGCTTACCAGCAAGTCACTGTGGGACACTGAGAGCAGCATTTTCACGAAGGCCTGGAGTACATTGTCAAAATGGTTGTCCCCGTACAACTTGAAGACGCCAAAGCTGACATAATTTCCACATAAGGCAGATTTGAGAGCTGAATAGCAGATGGATATGCCCTTGAGTTTCATTGGATAAATCTGATCTTTTGAGAGATTCCCAAGAGACAGGATCTGATTTCCTGTTGTGGGGTAAAAGCAGAAAGAAAGTGATAAGGAGATGTAATCCAAAGCTGTTGTGAGATACACTGATCATCTTCACTTTGCAGTTAATGTTAACTTTCCCCCAGCATGTCCTCCAAACTGAATCACCCATTGTACAAAAAATAAGTATACAAGATCATTTACTTGGGAGGAATGAAGAGCAGCAGGAAAAAAAACCAGTCAAGGCTACTTTGGAAAGTTAGTGTTTTTATTTGGATGGCGATCACACTGATATATATGTATATATATGCACAGACATGAAGAAAACCATGAGACACACACTCTTCAGATTAGTTTGTCTACTTTAATGCAAATGAATTGTTAGCCCTTAAATAAAAATTTTAACTAAGAAAAGAAAGGATAAGGGTGGTAAGGTATTTCAGTGGTGAAGTACACCTGCTGCTAAGCCTGATGGCCTGAAATCCATCTCTGCATGGTGGAGGAAGTAGACTGGGTTGCCATAGCTGGCCTTTGACTTCGCACATGCTCTGTGGCTCTTGTGCACACATGAATATACATGTACAGAAATGCATAATAAATACATAAATGTTAAGGAAAAAAGAGAGAAACAGAGTTAGCTATACACACACACATATTACAAAAAAAGAGGCAGGATAAAATTACAAGTTAAGCAAATCCCAGCACTAGCTGAGGAGATAGAGCATTTGAGAGCTTCTGGGAGAGGGAGTGTCAGTTTTCTTCAGTGTGAAAAGCCCTGGTAGGCCAACTACATGCCAGTTCAAGTCCTGTTCCCGAGAGCGCCTGGCAACACAAGCTGTATTCAAAGAAGAAGAAATCTCAACTTGAGTGTGAAGAGATGGGAGGGTGGTAATGGGAGTTGAGGGGATGAATATGTTCAAAATACATTATATGAAATTCTCCAAGAATTATTAAAAATACTACTAAAAATCACCAGCTTGTGATTTCCTATGTGAATTTATTTCATCTTGGGTTACTTCATTTCTAGGAGTCTCATAGATTTGGAATTAGATGAAACACAGAAATTACTGGCACAGAACCTGGAAACAATGTAAATGCCTCTCAACTGAAGAATGGATAAAGAAAATGTGATACATTTACACAATGGAGTATTACTCAGCGGCAAAAAAATAATGACATCTTGAAATTTGCAGGCAAATGGACGGGACTAGAAAAACAAATCCCGAGTAAGGTAACTCAGACCCAGAAAGGCAAACACAGTCTGTTCTCACTCATAAGTGGATATTAGACATAAAGCAAAGGATAACCAGTTTACAGTCCACAACCCCAGAGAAGACAGGAAACAAGGAGAACCCTGAGAGAGACCTGGAAGGGGAGGTACACAATATCTCCTTAGTAAACTGGCAGCGTAGGGGAGGGTGGAGGGTGGAGGGGAGTGGAGAGAAGAACACGAGGGATTGGGAAGGTCAGGGAGGGAGAACAAGGAAAGATACCTTGAAAAAGGGAGCCATTATGGGGTTAGTGAGAAACCAGGCACTAGGGAAATTCTCAGGAATCCTTAAGCAACACTGGAGAGGGTATCTTAATTGTCCTTCCCCTATGACCAGATTGATGATTACCTTAATTGTCATAGAACCTTCATCCAGTGACTGATGGAAGCAGATGCAGAGACCCACAGCTAAGCACTGGGCCGAACTCAGTCATAGAGAGGGAGGAGTGATATTATGTGCAAAGGGATCAAAACCATGATGGGGAAACCCATAGAAAAAGCTGACCAGAGCTAGTGGAAGCTCACTGACCCCGGACTGATGGCTGGGGAACCTGTATAAGACAGAATTAGGCCCTCTGCATGGAGGTGACAGTTATGTGGCTTGGGCAGTTTATGGGGCCACTAGTAGTGGTATCAGTATTTAGTGCATGAACTGGCTCTTTAGAGCCCATTCTCTAAGGAGGGATACTTTGCTTAGCCTAGATGCAGTGGGTAGGGCCTTGGTCCTGCTTCAAGTGATATGAGAGACTTTGTTGACTCTCCATGGGAGGCCTCCCACTCTCTGAGGAGTGAATGGGGGGTGGGATGGAGAGAAGGTGGGGGGAGTGGGAGGACGAGAGGGAGAGGGAACTGGGATTGGTATGTATAATAAGATTGTTTTAAAAATAAAAAAAGAGAAAAAAGAAATTACTGGCATTATACAAAATAATCGTGGTTTCTTACCTTTTTCTTTAGGTCTTTGAAGATCTTGAGATGATTTGTTTAAAATCTCTACCAAAATTCTAGGCTGCAATGGCTAACTTTGGTTGTCAATTTGACCACATCTGGAATCAACTAAAACCCAAGCAGTTGGGCATACCGGTGACGGATTTTCTAGATCGGATCATTTAAGGTGGAAGACCCGCCCTAAGTCTGGGTCCTATCTCCTAGTCTCAGCATAAAGGGACATGGAAGAAGAAAGCCTTTGCTTTTTGCCTGCCTGCCATCACTCTTGTGGGTAAGTTCATTTTTCCTGTAACTGAGACAGTCTTTCATTGGTATCAGAACCTCCGTCTTCAAGACTCCAACACAGACTGAACACCAGCAGCTCTCTGAACAGAGTCCTGACAAACCCACTGTAAACTAGTCGCTGTTGGACTAGTCTGGAAACCATTCTAATAAATCCCCTTTAATTTATATTATATTTAATTTATATTACTCTATCAGTTCTGTTCCTCATTTTTATTTATTTTTTGAGACAGGGTGTATGTCCTAAAACTCACTATATAGACCTGGCTGGTCTCAAATTCAGAGATCCACCTGCTTCTGCTCCCTGTGTGTGGAAGTAAAGTGTGGGCTACCATGTTCTGTCTGTTGAGATAGGGTCTCTCTATGCAGCCATGACTGTCCTAGAACTTGGTATGTTAGTATCTCACCGAGATTGGCTGGCCTTGAACTCAGAGAGATCCACCTGTGTCTGCCTTCCAAAGTATGTGCCACCATGCCCCACAGTTTTGTTCCTTTAGAGAACCCTGACTAATACATATGCTAGTCATTTACAAGACAAAGAACTGTTTATATATTAACATTTCAGTAGTACTTAGCATTTATAATCAATAATTTCTGCATCTGAAATGTGTTCTGAAAGTGTGTAGCTAAGCACTATCCAGGAATTCTTTAAACAACAGATATGTCTGTGGGTAAAAGTGGCCCTACGAGCAATCTGTGAGCTCAAGGAGGTAGACAAGAAGCAACTGCAAGGCTTTTTGAAGTGGTGAGAGCCATGGTATAGACCTATTGCAAGGCTCCACTTGGTCTTTTTTCCTTCTCTCCCTCCCTCCCTCCTTCCCTCCTTCCCTCTCTCCCTCCCTCCCTCCCTCCCTTCCTTCGCTAATGACCTCAAGCCTGGCAGAGGAAGAGTTTTTCAGACCATACCATTAGTTTCTCCTCACACCTCACCTCTTTAGATCCTGCTTCAGCTTCATAGTGCCCAATATTTACACTTCCTTGGTGGTCCGACATGCTCACACACGCCATTATTTCAAGACAGCTAATCAGTGGTCTTCTTACCCTCGACCTACCCATGGGTGTGTATAAGATATACTACCTAAAATTATTCTAAATTTTAATAATTTTAAATCAATTTAAACTAAATTAGAATACACTTTCAGAATAAAGTTATTTTTTGTTCTGAAAATTTTAAGTGTTAAAGATGAAAGGGGAAAAACAAAAGTTCTATTCTAAAAATATCATAGTGTTCCATTTCCTTCCTTCCTTCCTTCCTTCCTTCCTTCCTTCCTTCCTTCCTTCCTTCCTTCCTTCCTTCCTTCCTTCCTTCCTGTTTTTTGAGAAAGGGTTTCTCTGTGGCTTTGGAGCCTGTCCCGGAACTAGCTCTTGTAGACCAAGGTGGCCTTGAACTCAGAGAGATCCATCTGCCTCTGCCTCCCAAGTGCTGGGATTAAGGACGTGTGCCACTAGTGCCCAGCAGTGTTCCTTTCCTTTAACTTCTAACTTTCCTCACTTCAGCCTCTGCATCCTGGGACCACAGGTCTGCTCCTCCATATCCAGTTTATGAGATGCTGAAGATCAAATCCTGGACTTTGAGAATCCTAGGTAAGCACCCTGCCAGCTCACACTTGATAGGTGTATCACAGTAACCACATGTGCACTTAGATATTAAAAAGGACCAATAGTTCTAGTAGAGCATGAAATACAACTAAACAGGATAAGTTTCCCCTTCGGGATCTGTTACTAAATACTGCCATTGCTCTGTACGTTGTTGGACATCCATGTGGCTTTGTTTATGACTGAGACAACTGAGAAACAAAAGCTGAAGTCTACCTTGAAAGGTACTCAGTAACACATGCTCATTCTAACTCACCTTGGAGACAGATGCCTTATCTCCATGAAGACGGAGTGCAATATGACAGTATTTATTTAACAGCTACTATCTGTGAAGTGCGGGGTAAAAACACATGAACACAAACAATTTTTGCTCTGTAGTTCACTGTGGCTGGGTGAAGAGATTTGTGATTGACTCCATAAAATGTGACAAATACTATCAGAGCAGTGAGTAACGGTGCTATGGCAACAGAAGAAACAAACTTTGTTTAGGTACAAGACAGTAGGAAAGGCTTCATGGAACAGGCTATGCTTGAAGGGCCAATTGCAGTATCCCAGATAGCCTTAGAAGATGTGATGTTTTAGGTGGAGTAAGTGCAAAAGGTGCAAAGAAAAGATTAAGTGCAAAAGCTCACAGGAAGTGGCACTATTAGAAGGTGTGGCTTTTTGGAGGAAGTGTGTCCCTGCAGGGGTGGGCTTGGAGGTCTCCTTTACTCAAGCTTCATTCAACTCCACTTCCTATTGCCTACAAGGCAAGATGTAGGGCTCTCAGCTACTTTCCCATGGTGTCTCTTCACAGCAATAAAAACCTAACTAAGACAGTAGGGTATTTGTCTCAAAGAAATATAAATTAAGGTGATGTCCTCACCCTTCCTTTTCTGAAAAAGAAGAGCACTAGATAGAAGATGGAAAGAACTAGGGTGATTCTGGAGGTAAGAAAGGGCTCAC